GTCTGGGAGGGGGCACAGCCTCCGGTCAGGGGCTGCTCCCGGTGGCAGGAGCACAAAACTGAATTTTGGGGAAATAGCTTTTCCTGTCAGATGCAGAATTAGCTGCTTTGTGGAAAAGAGATGAAGTCTCTCAAGGAAATTCCTGTTTCAGAGCAGCTGCTGCTGTCTTTCCATTCCATGATAGGGGCACGGTGCAGCTGGTGGGGGAGGGATGGCCCTGCTCAGTGCCTCGGGAGGGGCTGGTCCTTGTTGGTTTGGGGTGCTCGTGGTGCGACCGAGGTCTGCGATGGGTGCGCAGCCCGCAGCTCTGCAGCGCGCGTGCTGCTCGGTGCTGGTGGAGCTGGGGTGGGAGCTGCTCCCACACAACCCAAGTCCAGGAGGGGTGCACGGCGCTGAGCTCCCGGTGGATGGGACGGGTGGATGTCACTGGCGTTTGCTCTATAATGCGTTGTCTTCCCTGCAGTCGTCCTGCTGGACTCGAAGGAATCGCAAGCAGAGCTGGGCTGGACCTCACACCCATCGAACGGGGTAGGTGTGGCGGGGGGACGCTGCTGGAGCGGCTCTGCCTTGGGCGCTCAGCGGTGTTTGGAGTCTGTTAGTCTGCAGAAGAAACTCTGTTTTGGGTACATTTGGCAATCTCGTGTATATTTACCCCTAGAAAGAACTGCTTTGGGAAGTTGCCAGGTTGTCCTTAAGGCTGCGAGGGCTGAATCATTATTTCGGCATCTCTGCTGGTAACTTTGGGCAAATACCGTTTCACTTGCAGCTGGGATTTGTCCTGTTCCAGCTCAGACGGAGAAGCGGCCGTTCACAAAGGTGTTTGTCCTTGTGTGACGGTGTGGCTGGCGTCACATCTTGGCCTTCTCTGGCTCCTCTGGGCAGCCCAGCCCCGGCTGCCGCTGGGCTGTGGGGATGCCGGGCAGATGTCCCTTCCTGGGGATGGAAAATGCAAGGCGCACACGGCAGATGAAGCGGTGGCTTCTGAGCAGTCGATGGCCCAGTCCCAGTCAGGTTTTGTTTTGGAGGGTGCCCTCTTTCTGGTTGTGTCTCCCTGTTTGCAAAGAGCTCTGGTGCTGGGTGGTCTGGCAGCACCGCTGTGTTCCTGTGGCTCTGGTTTTGGAGGGCTGAGGACGTTTGGTGCCTGCGATGTGGGCTGTAGGTGGGGAGCAGGGGTGGTGATATTTATACCGCTCCGCTGGCTCGTGGCAGCTCCAGCGCTGTTACAGCCCTTTGTGTTCTTTCCCAGTGGGAGGAAATCAGCGGCGTGGATGAGAACTACAAACCGATCCGCACGTACCAGGTCTGCAACGTGATGGAGCCCAACCAGAACAACTGGCTGCAGACGGGCTGGATCGCGCGGCGCGACGGCCAGAGGATCTTCATCGAGCTGAAGTTCACCCTGCGGGACTGCAACAGCATCCCCGGCGTGACGGGCACCTGCAAGGAGACGTTCAACCTCTACTACGTCGAGTCCGACGCCGACCTGGGCCGCAGCGTCCGCGAGAGCAAGCACACCAAGATCGACACCATCGCGGCCGACGAGAGCTTCACGCAGGGGGACCTGGGCGAGCGCAAGATGAAGCTGAACACGGAGCTGAGGGAGATCGGGCACCTGAGCAAGAGGGGCTTCCACCTGGGCTTCCAGGACGTGGGCGCCTGCGTGGCGCTGGTCTCGGTGCGGGTCTATTACAAGAAGTGCCTGGCCACCCTGCAGAACCTGGCCGTCTTCCCGGACACGGTGGCGGAGGCGGCCTTCGCCACTTTGGTGGAAGTGAAGGGCACC